CGACCCCGCTCAGCCACAGAGCCCAGTGGTTGCAAGTGTAGGCTTTGGACTGGAGGCCCAGGTCTGCCACTTCCATTGCGGATGCCAGGCGTGTTCCTCTGCCTCTCTCAGCCCCAAGTTCCTCATCTAGAAAATGAGGATAATTACCACCTGCCTCCTGTGGTGAGGATTAAATGAAATGACACATGCAAATTGCCCAGCGTATGACTCGCACCAGTAAGTACTGAACAACAATGAGCTGTTTAATCGTGTTGTTTTTGTGAAATATGTCAGGACAGCATTGCATTGAAGAGCCCACCCCATCCTTTTCCAGCACAGCATTAGCTCGGTAAAATTCACAGTGTCCCATAAGAGACACTGTGAACACTGGGAGGCGCAAAGACGAAGAAGGCGCATCCATCCCTTCAAGTTCTTTCCATGCTAGTGGGAAGAACAGACATGAAACTAGTCGTTGTAATATAAAAGGGCAAGTGAGGTAAGGGGGTTAACAGGTCCGGTGGGAGCACAGGCAGACCTCAGAGCCATGTGGCAGTCCAGGAAAGCCTGCATGAGGAAAGCAGTGCCTGAGTGATCGTCAATGATAAGTAAGAGCCAGTCAAGTAACTGAAAATGGAAGAGTATTCCTGGCAAAGGTAACAGATTGTCCAAGGCACAGAGGCATAGAACAGCCAGGTTTATTCCAGAACTGAAAGATTTCACAGTTCATTGGCCCAGGTCTTGCAAATACCCACGTATGGCCACACTGCTTGCCTGGCTTCTCTCCTGTGCCTTTGTCCAGAGTAGAAGATCATTTCTGTTTTAAAACAAACTCCTAAAAATATCTACTTCCCTCAAAGGCAAAATGGTCTCTATTCAGCTCAGCTATAACCAAGATCAGTGTAACCAAGGATCCTTTCCTAAGGAGAGAGGTGAATGAGACGATCCCTTGCTTGGGTGCAGAGTTTCTCAACAGCAGCCCTATTGACACTTTCAGCGGGATAATTCTTTGTCGGGGGCCTGTCCTGTGCATTGTAGGATGTTAAGTAGCAACCAGTCCTCTACCCTCTAGGTGCCCATAGCACTCCTCCTGTTGCAACAACCAAAAATGTCACCCGATATTGCCATATGTTCTCTGGAGGGGGAGGGAATATGGCCCCCAATGAAAATCTCTGCTTTACTGCCATCTAGAACCATCCTTTCCTGCCCCCATCTTCTCCAGAAGTTGACGTCACCATGGATTCTAAGGATAGCAGATTGCTCCCACAATACCCCCATCAGTGTTTTCCTCGGAGAACCAACTAGCCTTCAGCCTGGGCTGGAAGTACTGGGGTGATTGGCTTGATTTTAGGCACAGCAGAGATGTGCATTGTACGGTTTGCATCCCAGAAGGACCTGTGAGAGATATATATAAAATACGTGAAGAAGTGTTTTCAGAACTCAGTGTTCCCTAGATTGTTGCAGGGTGTCTACATTTCTGGCCTCGGAAGCAGAGGGAGAATGCACACAGGCCAAGCTGCTCAGAAGACAGAGAAGGGGCAGCCCAAATCCCAAGAGATGAGATTTCTAATGGTTGCCTAACAAGCCCCACTAGCTCCTGACAAGACAGGGAGGAGTCACACACAGAGCTTCCTGCAAATTACCCAGAACTTTCTATGCAAATCCTGATCATCAGCAGTCTGGATTATCGAGAGGCAGATTCCTGTGGGGGAAACAACCCCCTGGTTCCCTTAACTGAGCTTTGTTCCCTTAATTGAGCTTTTGTGACTGTGTTACCATCACTGTTGATACATTGCTCTGGCCCATAGCCTACATCCCAGAAGGAGAAAGCACGAAATAACCTGAAATCCAAAAATCCATCTTGGTTTCCTTGACATCCAGGAATGTGTGAACCAGTGAGTCAGGTAAGGTCTTAGAACAGAAAGGAACTGTTTGGAGCATTCTTTCCTGGTGGGGTGAGGGGAGGGAGTAGGCAGAGAGGAATGGGTGGGGATGGGAGTGGGGTGAGGGGTAACAGTTGGGTCCCCGTGTCATCACAGGAGGATGTACCACTCCACACCCAAGGAGTAAACAAAACAGGAGTGAAACAAAGCAGAGAGAGCAAAAGAAATATTTGACCGTTGACCCATGGCCCCAAATCCCACTTTAGGGCATACAAGTCACCATTATTCAACAATCTTGGAGCATTCCCCGTGGGCAAACATGCCTCAGAGGATAGAAAAAGAACAGAAAACACAGCACCAATTGGCTCCTTACTTAAAAAATAAGAAAGAAATAAAAAGTCTAGTCAAGTGCTAGAAAGCAAACCCAAGTCCAGAGACTTAAGAGCACCTGAAAAATCACCGTAGAATTTCACAAAGAAATTCTATAAAAGCTGAAGCAAAGAAAGAAGAGGAGGAGCAGGTCAAGTTCCCTGGAAGTGTTTTCAGCCTGGATCAGAAATGATCAAGGCTGGGTAGAGAATATCCAACCAAGCATGGAGTTAATTCCTTCAGTCTCAGGTCTTAGCACCAAGTTCACCTGCCTGGTCATTCCTCTGACAATGACATCTCCAAGAAATAGTCCTCTCCATGGTGCCATTCCTCCTGAGCCAGCCTACCATTGGCTACTCTCCCCTTTAAGAAGCTTCATGGATTCCCCCCTGCCACCTGCAGGCGATTAGGTAGTGGGGATCTCCTGTAAACCCCCACAGGGGCCAGTGGGCATAGACTAGAGTCCAGGGAGAACAGCAAAGGAAAGAGGCCATTGGCTGAATGGGAACTTTGAAACCAGGGAACAGTGTCCAAAAAACGTTAGCCCTGTTCTGGGCTTCCCTTGGAGGCCATTTAGAAACCCCTTGACTTCTCAGGGATAAGCATTCTGGAAAACCTGGCCCAGGCTCTACTGCCTGGCTGACTGTTCTCTTCTCCTTGACTCTGGATGCTGGAGCTCAGCCTGGGCCCTATTCTCTTCCCTCCACCTGGGAGAGCTCATCGGTTGCGTGGCTCTAGAAACTACCCTAACCATCCTTATGCAGATGATGTTCAAATGTGAGTCTCCAGTGCTGACAGGTGTCCCTTCTGAAACCACATTCCAGCTCCAACCATAGGACAGATGTCTATCTCGTGAGCAGCTCACCGATGTATCTCCAACATTTAGCCCAGTGCCCGAGAGTTAACTCAATGAATATTTGTTGAAGGAAAGCATTCATTAACAATGACTTCATCTAGGGGGAACAGCTGTCCCATCACTGGCCTGGCACCTTCCCACACAGCCAGCCCTCTGAGCTGGGGCAGGCACTGAGTTTCACCCACCTAGCCTTGTCCACAAAGCGATGCCAGCCAGGAAAGTCACCTCCCTGCCCAAAGATGAAGCAATAGCTACCAAATCCTACATCCTGCAAAGAGTCTTCCTGGGAGATCAGATAGAACTGGCCCTGGATTGCTCTGCTAAGTGGAGAACATGGGATGTCCATACGATTCTCAAGCCCCAGTTTCTGCTTTTCTTTAATTATCATTTCCCTTCTCTGAAAGAAATTCAGCTTTGGCCTAAGATGGAAATATTGCTTCCCTGGCCCAGCTTGGCTTAATGTTTCTACTCCATTGCCTACGTGTTCTCTGGGTACCCAGGCAGCTGGCCATGCCAGGAGGGCAACAACCCGTAGCCTCAGAGACAGTGTGGAGTAGGGGCAGGTGCTCCAGACTCAGGATGTTTGGGCGCACTCTCAGCTCAGACCCTCAGATGCTCTAGGACCCTAAGCAAACCTCCCCACCTCTCTGAGCCTCAGTCTCCTTCTTTGCAAATAAAGTTCTTGGACTCCTTGAGCCTGAGTTTCTTCCAGCCATGACCTTCCGGACAGCACTGCCATGGCCAACTAATACTTTATCAGGGCTTCCTGGTTCTGGAAGCTTCCATGGCTGGCACACAACCTGAGGACCCAGAGTGCATGCAGACAGGTGTAGGACATTTTCCGAGGGGTGTCAATAGTTGTTTACCCAAAAGGGAGGCCTCTGTGGGAAATGCTGGGTTAAAGACAGCTAACAGGTAGTCTTTGCTACAAAACTTCTCGGAACCTCTAATATGTCCTCCAAGGAGGAAAGATTTAAAGGACACAGAACGCTTTCTGCAGAGCTCCCCCAACAGACTGGGGTTTGTGGGTCAGCCTTTGAGATAGGTAGCTCTCGGGAAATCCCTGCAGCCCTGGGGTTCTAGCAGCTCACACTTGCCCAGGTGCACCCTGATGTGGGGAGAACTTTCAGGATGTCAACTGGAGTAGGGACCCACCTGCACCAAGGAAAGAAATCCTCCATCCCCAAGCCCTTCAACAGCTGAAGGCCCTCTTAGTTTCCCCCAAATGAGAGAAGGCAAGGGATAGATGGATGTCCGCAAGGTCCCACCTTCCCCTCCTAGAACTGTGAGGTAACGGGACCTCCTGGGGTGTGCCCCCCCCCCAGCCCCTCTCCCTACCCCCCTCCCCCGTGCTCAAACAATACATGAACAACCAGATCTTGCCCATTTCGATCCCATACAGTGGACAGTAGCCAGTGACTGCTTTAGAGGCAGAGGATCAGCACTCCTGCTGTTCTGGGAACAGACAGCACAGCCCACTGGGAGAGGGTGACAGGAGTCAGTCCAGTGGGGAGAAAGGTGACCAGGGAGCACCCAGAGGCCTGATGTGAAACACAATGCACTTTATTGGCGACAGAACGGTTGGCAGAGGGGTCCGTGTGTTATATACATCAGAAGTGGTGACCATTCCCCCCAGGAAGGGGACCCCAAGGGCAGGAGAAGGTGGCGGCTGAGGCCACACCTGGACCATCAGGCACAGACGGGAGCCCGAGAGAGCGCCTGAAGTTCTCCAGACGGCGCTCGGCCGGGGGTCCGGATGCAGGAGCCAGAGGCCCGGGTGTTCGAGGCCCAAAGAGCGGCCCGGGAGCGGGCGGTGCTGGGGTGGGCGCGGGGAGCCGGGGTGGCGCTGGCGGCGGAGGGGAGCCGCGGCCGGGGGCGCGAGGCGCGGGGGCGGCGGCGGGGCTCGGGCGCCGCGTTTATCTGGAGCTGCGCTGCGAGGCCTGGGAGAACTTGATGCTGCCGGCCCGGCTGCTGCCCGAGCTGAAGCCGCCGCCGCTGACCCCGCCGCGAGCCCCGGAGCCGGAGCCGAAGCCGCTGCCGCCGCCGAAGCCGCCGCTACCGCCTGCCCGGCCGAAGCCGCTGCCCGCACCCCCTCCCGCGCCGAAGCCCCCGCCGTAGCCGCCGCCGAATCCACCTGCGGAGGCCGACGTCGCGCCGCCGCTGCTGACCACGGCTGCAGGGCAGAGGGCAGAACCGCGATTAGCGCCCGGCGCCCACCTCCCTGTACCATAACTAATGACCCACTGGGCCCGGGAAGATGGGCAGGAGACCGAGGCAGCTTTGCTCCTGGTGATCATTGTGATCCGTTCTAATGGCATAAGGTGCTCGCCCCCTAGTGCTAAGTCATTATGAATTTTCCAGTGGTTCCTTCTACCTATGGCCAATTCTTGAGGACTCCATTGGAGATGATCCAGAATTTCTCCTCCCATTAACAGGCTCCCAACTGGGTATTCCCCATCCCGTATAGATCTATTAATAGTGCCCTGAACCCAAGACAATGACAAAAGCAGATCTGCTGCCCTTTCTACCCACAGAAAACCTCCAACTGCCATAGAAATATTTTTTAAGTAAGGTGCTACTGCCCTGTGTTAGTGTAGATATTTCAGAATCAGTTCTCACTGTCAAGGTTATTTTGGCTACTTACAGATGCTGACAGCGCTCTGGCACTCTCCAGACATCCTGTAGGAGAAAGCAAGAGAAAGATAGCTCTGTCACAAAGCAAATTTCCAGCAATCTTTCACGGATGAAGGTGTTGAACAGCAACCAGAACTGAATTCAGAAGCCAGGCAGATCAGTACCCCCTCTGCACCTTTCCATGGGCCATAACAGAGCCCCTGAGCGCACTGGTTGTGCGTGCACTTGAACTACCTATGGAAGAGAATGGGCTGGTGAAAGCAAGTGCTTCCCTGCAAGGCCTGTGGAAGGTGGGGGCCTCTCTACACAGCTGGCCTCCATTCTCATTTACTTGGTCACTTATCTGGCCCTCAGCTCATGCCTTCGGTCAGGGAAGGTGGGAAGATGGAATTAGAGGCCCACCTGCACTCCTCGCCCTCCAGCAGCTTCCTATAGGTGGCGATCTCCACGTCCAGGGCCAGCTTGACGTTCATGAGCTCCTGGTACTCCTTCAGCAGCCGGGCCAGGTCATCCTTGGCCTGCTGTAAGGCAGCCTGCAGCTCTTGGAGCTTGGCATTGGCGTCCTTGAGGGCCAGCTCCCCGCGCTGCTCAGCCTCAGCGACGGCTGCCTGCAGGTTGGCATTCTAGGGCAGGGAGAGGCAGGGGAAAAGATGAGCCTAGGAGGAGGGTTCCAGACTCTGAGTCTTATAATAGCTTATCCCATAGCAAACATCTTCAAGCCAGGCAACATCACTCCCCAACACTTCTATCTTGTCTTCATCTACTGAGATATTTTCCCTATGGATTACCTGCCCTCTAGACTGGCTTGGTCTTTGAACTCCCTGGAGGCCAGTGCTGCCTGAGATGACCCCAGAAATCCCTTCCAGACTAGGAGTTCTGCGATCCTCACCCCCAGCCTGCACCAGTTCATCTAGGCACCAGTATCCATTGCCATCCCACCTGCTTCTTAACATTCTCGATCTCGGCCCGCAGCCTTTGGATCATCCTGTTGAGCTCCGTGATCTCACTTTTGGTGCTCTTCAGGTCATCCCCGTGTCTGCCAGCCATAGTCTGCAGCTCTCCCAACTGAAGAACAGAAGGGAAGATGGGGTATTGATGCAGCTTTGCCTGACTTGTTTCTCCATCCCTAACGTCACCCACCCAACCTTAAGGTGCTTAGTAAGCATTTGTTCAAATGACATTGATTATGTTTCAGCAGCGACACTTCGGAGGCCGCAGGGAAGAGAACATCTGATTTGCCATGGTAGGAGTTCTCCCACCCTACGGTCCCTGAGCAAACTAGAATCCCTCACACGTGGCCTGGCAGGGGACAGTGAAACCACCTTCCAACAGAGGCAGCACTTTGCAACTGAACAACATTAGAAAGATGTCTCTAGAGAGTAGAACCAAGAGGAGTCCACCCAGTGACAACAGGGGACTCACCACCCAGCAGTCCCATGGGCCACAGCCTCCCTGAGACCTCTCAGAGGTGCCTAGCTCCCACCTTGGTCTGGTACAGCGCTTCGGCCTCCGCCTTGCTCTTCTGGGCGATGTCCTCATAATGGGCCTTGACTTCAGCAATGATGCTGTCCAGGTCCAGGCTGCGGTTGTTATCCATGGACAGCACCACGGACGTGTCGCTGACATGGTTCTGCATCTGGGACAGTTCCTGCCAACACAGAGGGGCCTGTTAATTCTCGGCGCCTCTGCAACAAGCACACAGAGGCCCGGAAACAACAGACCCATTCTGTGACTCAGCTCTGAACATGTATTTGCCCCACCCTTCCCCCCAGTCCCTCAGAGAACCCCATGTCTGCAGTCCATCTTATGGAACCCCAACAAGGGGCCCCATCTCTTCCTGGGCTCTAGATGCCAAGGTGCCCCAGCCTCTGAGAATATCTCACCTTCCCTTGCTCCCCTCTTAGGAGGTAACATCCTCACCATATCATAGAGGGTCGTCAGAAAGTTGATTTCATCCATTAAGGCATCCACCTTGGCCTGAAGCTCCACCTTGTTCATGTAGGCGGCATCCACATCCTGAGAAAGACAGAAGCATAAGGCCTCGTTCCCCCCAAGGAACAAACAACAAACTGCACGTGCAGCAGGAAAGAGTCAGGACAGGCTGGTGATTGACCGATCCTTGTCCAAGGCTGGTGTGCACGTGAAGGAATGACTCACTTCCCATTGGGATGGTTCAAAATGAAAAACAAATGAACTGACTCTTTTAGGGATCTTTCCAAACTACGATGCACCTGGCTTCTGCTTTTTGCTCTAACTGCCTGAACTTGGCAGCTCTGTGGTGGTGGAGCAAGAAAATACCCCAGCTCCGCTGGAAACCTGTGCCCACAAACCCCAGGAACCTCACACACAGCCCTTACCTTCTTCAGGGTCACAAATTCATTCTCAGCAGCTGTACGTTTATTGATTTCATCCTCATACCTGTAAGGATTAAAAAGAAATAACTAAGTTTGGGTTTTAAGGTAGTCATAAACACCAGTTTTGTCTGAAACTAAAAGTTCATCTCTCCATCCCTGTCCCTTGGCCGCCCCTCTCAGCTGAACACATCCTCCTGACCATCCCCCTATTGGTTAGGGGGACCAGCCATTCCTGTTTGTCCCAGCACACTGGCCTGGTTCTAGCACTGGAAGTCCCACGTCCTGGGAAGCCCCTCAGTCCCAGGGAACCTGGGACGGTTGGTCATCACACCAGAGCTGTCCCAGCATCCTTCAGATTCTAGAACCAGAATCTTCCCCAACGTGGACCATGAGGAAGTGCTTCCTCAACCCTAAACTCATTCCACTTGCCATAACTTCACTTGTCCTTGGGGAAGGAGGGCGAGTGGGGAGCCCAATGAACCAAGCTCCCTCTGTGAAGGTAAGGAGAGGAAGACAGGCTAGGTGACACCACCGCCGGTGGCAGGAGGAGTGCACAAAGAGCTGGAACTCCGAGACTGGGGTGCCCGTGGCAACTTCCCACTCATGTGTCTGTCACTCACTTCTTCTTGAAGTCCTCCACCAGGTCCTGCATGTTCCTCAGCTCCAAGTCCAGGCGGCCCCTCTCCCCTAGGATGCTGTCCAGGTAATTCCGCTGGTTGCTGATGTAGGTCTCAAAAAGGGGCTCCAGGCTTTTGGTGCCTGTCATGGAATTCGTGCCCTGCTGCTGGAGCAGGTTCCACTTGGTCTCCAGGACCTTGTTCTGCTGCTCCAGGAACCGCACCTGCAGTGCATCGGGGAAGCCGCATCAGGCAACGCTAGTAACAGAAGCACAGCGGGGGCCTTGGCTCAGGTAGGACTGAGCGTCTGAATCTCCCCAGCCCCCAGCACAAAGGCCTAGAAGGGATGTGAAGGTAGGTCCCTACTGTAGCTGGAGAGGCTACAGGCAGATGACCGCTTCAGTCGGGCCGCTAAAGATGCAGCACGGTTTGGAAAGTTCCAGGAGGAGGAGAGACAGGTGGAGCAACTGGAAGTAGCCCCTGTCTGGAAGCAGAGTTGTAAAGATGACCACTCAGTGTCCCCCGGGGACTTCAGGACTCTAGCCCAACCTCCAAAAATACAGTACGCTCTGCAGAAATGTACTTGAACCTCAGCAATATAGCTTCAGACCTAAAGCTCTGCTGACACTCAGCCCTTCGGAGGTTGTGAATCCCTGGGAACTGATACTGATTGAAATGCCATAATCAGCATCACAGGTGGGAGCCCATCGGTGTAAGCTACCCTGGTCTGGAGGGCACCAGGCACCCTTCTCTTCCTGACCAGGTCGATTTAGGGGTGCAGACTCATTGCCAGCATCTTCTCCGCAGACCTGTTGGGACTAAGGTTCCAGGTGAGCCTCTTTAATCCCTTCTCTAGGGCATCCAACTCCTTTGCCTGGCACAAGGGCAAGGAAGGAACAGGCCTCCCAGAAAGCCTCAAAGGGCAGCTCATGTCTGAAAAACGCCCAGTCCTGGGTCAGACCCGTTCCTGCCAGTAGTCATGGCTCTTGCCGTGTGTTGCCAGGGCTGCCAGCCTAGGCCTAGACAAGGCAACAGTCAGGAGACTTGAGCAGGGAGCCAGACAAGCAGGACTTGCAGATGTCCATGTCCAAAGGGGCCCATTGTCTTCCCTAAGCAAGTGACCATGTAGGCAAACTCATCAGCCCTGAACATCTTCCCAGACCCTAGAGCTCTGCCTAACCATCCTGGTCCAGCCTGGCTCATCCAAGACTCATCCTAAACACTGTGTCTAAATGTCAAACTCAAAGTCCCAGCCTAGAAATGGGAGCCCAGTCAAAGCTTCATCACCTTGTCGATGAAGGAGGCGAACTTGTTGTTGAGGGTCTTGATCTGCTCCCGCTCCTCGGTCTTTACTTGCCCAATCTGGGGGTCGATCTCCACATTGAGGGGCTGCAGGAGGCTCTGGTTGACAGTCACTTCCTGGATTCCCCCGGGGAAACCACCAGGACCAAAGCCCCCAGCCCCTCCAAAGCCACCAGCTCCACCAAAGCCACCAGCTCCACCAAAGCCCCCAGCCCCTCCAAAGCCACCAGCTCCACCAAAGCCACCAGCTCCTCCAAAGCCACCAGCTCCTCCAAAGCCACCTCCCATTCCTCTGCCACCACCAAAGCCACCACCAAAGCCACCTCCATAGCCACCCCCAAAGCCACTGCCACAGCTGCCACGCCCTCCCCCAAAGCCACCAGCCCGGGAGCCACCAGCCACGCTGATGGAGATGCTCTTGTTGCCACCCAGGCTGTAGAGGCTGCGACTGCCAAAGCCGCCCGCTCCACCCCGGAACCCACAGGCCCCTCCGCCGGCTCCCCCGGAGCGGGCCACACAGCTCATCCGGCTGCTGCTGGAGACCACGGCGGAGCGTCCGGAGAAGCCCTGGCTGCCGCCACCAGCTGTCTTGCAGACTTGTCTGTTCATGGTGAGAGAGCTTGATGAAGGAAAAGCACAACAGTTAAGCAGGACACTGAGAGTCAGAGGAAGAGGGAAGGGAACTGAAGACCTATGCAGAATAAATCCCTTTATATACCTCAAAGAGGTGGCTGGGCTCAAATGAAGGAGAGATAATTAGTCCCAAATAGTCATGGGTGGGGTATGCCTCCAAGGCAGTAAGTTTGTTCCAGGCTACTAAACACACCTTAAAAATAATCTGAAATGGTAAAACTGCTAAGGTGGCAGGCTTACCTGGCAGGGGGTGGCGCCTGCCATGCCCCATGCTTGGGCATGGCCACCTCCTAGCTTTGTCTGACAGGACCCAGGAGGCACACTCATCCCCGCCATGTGCTCAGCGGCCATCTATCTGCCCTCAGCTGTGGAAAGAACAGACTGGAAGGTGGGTTGGGGAGGGTTTGGTTGTCTGAGTAGTGGAAACAGTGAAGCCCACCCAAAGACTCGGCACAAGGATCTCAACAGAAGGGGTGATTCAGTTCACTCCACAGTCAACACATGGTCATTGAGTGCTCACTGTGTGCCCAGGTCTGTGCTGGGCTTGGGAATGAAATGATGACCTCTCTTCCTCCCTTCCTGGAAACAGAGCTCAGAGCCATGACAAATCTGCCTCTCGGGCTCCCTCCCATCCCAAGCTGCAGTTCAGGAGGCAATGGCATTGGGGTTCATGACAGTCCTCTGAGAAAAAGGGCCGTTAGCACCTATGCGCTTTGGTGAGACGTTAGCAAAATTCAACGTGAGAAATATTTGTTTGCTTGCTTGCTTGCTTGTTTTGAAAACTTCTTAGAGACACTCTACATTATTCCACATCTTGGTGCATCTCTAAAGCTTCCTTTTTTGCTCCCCACATTTTTGCCACTTCTCTGGTTTCAGCCCAAGTCCCAGAGGACTGGAAATTCAAACAACAATTCTACCACCTACTCACCAAATATTTACCGGTTGTCTAACTCGTGCCAGGCACTGTGCAAGGTACAGAGACTCCGTAGTGAACAGGACACACAGGGACCGTTCTCAGGTTGAGGGGCTGTGCTCCCAGGAATCTGTGGCCTCAGTATCCAGACCCCACCCCCAGACTCAGGAAGCCAGACCTGGCAAAGCCACAGCACGGCTATACGTGCCTGACTCTGAAAGCCTGAGAACCTGCCAGCCTGGTGTTTTTCAGAGGCTTAGGGACTGGGCTTGGCTCGTCCAAGAGGAAAGCCTTCCTGCCAAATTAGCCGCTTATCTCTCCAGGACGGGTCTTTCTTCGTTTTCTCCACTGCACATTAGGCCCTGCTAAGGGTGTGGCCTGTGCGGCGTCGGCAGGAGCCGGCTCAATGGGCAGAAAGGAGGAAAGGACAGGGGCTTGTTCAGCGCTGAGCGGGGCTGGGAATGGCCCCAAGTGCAGAGGAAATGAAATTTTCTTCTGTGACCTGGTTCTCCCATTCTGTCTTCTCTGCCATTTGTTACCCCAGGCTACCCATCATCTTGGCCCCTTCCCCAGAACAAAGCCATAAGCTTCCCAGGAGTTTACAGTCTTGTTAATGTACTGGATCTCTTGGTTCTTAGCACAGTGCTTTGCCAATAATAGATGCTCATAAAAGTTGTTTGGTTGAATGGATCAATCAATTAGTCAACTGATGAATTCATGAATAAATTAAGCCTTTACTGGATTAGAACCAAATAAAACCAGTCAAAAGTGGGTTCAAATCCCATGATATAAGATAGCCTAAGCTAATTGAGATCATCTTAACATGAGGAACCCAGACCTCTCAAATTTGGTGTGCAGTTTAACAAAATATACATGCAAAATGAGTGTCTCCTCCTTTCCAGTGGAAAAAAATGTTGTAGAATCACAGTTCAAGAACCAACCAATCAAGAATCACTCAATCAGAGAGGTGGGGGGATGGGCAAAATAGATGAAGGGGATTAAGCGGTACAAACTTCCAGTTATAAAATAAATAAGTCTCAGGATGTAAAGCACAGCATAGGGAATATAGTCAGTAATACTGTAGTAACTTTGTATGGTGACAGATGGTAATTACGCTTATCCTGGTGAGCATTTTGTAATGTATGTAATTTTGGAATCACTATTTGCACACCTGAAACTAATGTAATATTATATGTCGATTATATTTTAATTTAAAAAGAATCAATCAAGGGCACCTGGGTGGCTCAGTCGGTTAAGCGTCTGCCTTCCGCTCAGGTCATGATCCCAGAGTTCTGGGATGGAGCTCTGAGTTGGGCTCCCTGCTCAGCAGGGAGTCTTCTTCTCCCTCTCCCTCTGCCTGCCCCCACTCGTGCTCTCTCTCTCTCTAGCTCACTTGCTCATTCTCTCTCAAATAAATAAATAAAATCTTTAAAAATAAATAAATAAAAAGAATCAATCAATCCCAGAATCAGCTTGAAGTTGACTGAGCATTTGAGGTCCTAAAATCTGCCCCTTGCCCAGTACTGGGATCTCCTCCCTAGCAGGTCTAAACTAGATCCCTGACCTTCCCCAGCCACTGGCCCAGGCTTAACGGCTTGTGAAATTAGCCCAAGGCCCAGAGAGTGGCCACACATAGACACCCTCCTCACTTTGCTCCCTCAGAAGAACCAGACTTTAAAGAATGAACCAAACCCAGAGCTGGGCCAGCCCCACCCCATGACTAAACATGACCAAAGCTGTTTAGATCCTCTGGGTTTCAGCAACATTAACCATTGAAGATGGCCAATCACCTGTGCCTTTCTGGATCTCACAGGAGCTGGATGAATGGGATCGGTCAAGTGTTCCAAAAAATGTATTGCTGAGGCACGTAGGTGGTTCAGTCGGTTAAGCGTCCGACTCTTGATTTCAGCTCAGGTCGTGATCTCAGGTCATGACCTCAGGGTTGTGAGATGGAGCCCCATGTTGGGGTCGGCACAGCGTGGAGTCTGCCTGAGATTCTCTGTCTCCCTCTCCCTTTGGCCCTCCCCCCAGTCACACGCGCTCTCTCTCTCTTTCTCTAAAATAAATAAATAAATAAATCTTTAAAAAATGTATTGCAAAAATTAGGCAATACATTATTTTTTTTAATATTAAAAAGTATGCACTTTGAAGCCAAACAGACCCAGTTTTTAAATTTTTTTTGATGGAGGTTTAACTGACATACAACGTAGTGTTAGTTCAGGTGTACACAGACCCAGTTTTTAAATCTCTGCGTGTCACTGCATGTCCCTGAGCATCCTCTCCGGGCCTCAGTTTCCTTGTCTATAAGATTCAGTTATTGGGGCACCTGGGTGGCTCAGTCGTTAAGCGTCTGCCTTCGGCTCAGGTCATGATCCCAGGGTCCTGGGATGGAGCCCCACATCGGGCTCCCTGCTCCATGGGAAGCCTGCTTCTCCCTCTCCCATTCCACCTGCTTGTATTCCCTCTCTCGCTGTGTCTCTCTCTGTCAAATAAATAAATAAAATCTTTAAAAATAAAATAAATTAAAAAAAAAAGATTCAGTTATTAATGATACCTCTCTCATAAGGTCATTGTCATGCCTAGAAAGTACCTAGCACACCACCTGAGTTCGGGCCATGTTCACCATCATTGTGAACTATTTTTGTCTGCGCCCCACACAGAGAATTTCAGCTTTCATGCCTATCAAAAGAATCAATCCCATAAAATGATGATTCCATTTGCACTTATCCACAGAAGCCCCACAGGGAATGGGAGCACAGCTGGCGGGGGCAGGGGAGGGGGCTGGATAGATAGAAATCATATCCAACTCCATGACTTGGGATGAGGGGAAGCGGGGCCTCAGGTGCCAGCCTAACACCAGTGAACAAATATGAGGAGTGTTTACTGAGCCTTGATTCTCTCAGTCGCCATGTGATAGAATAGTTTTCAAGAGCTCACAGTCTAGACAAGCCAAACCAAGCAAGACTAAAACTGAGTGCTCTATACTGGGTGCTGTGAGGCCGTGGAGAGTTGGAAAACAGGGAGTCACACAGCAAGGCTTCATGAACAGACATGGGCCAGAACTTTCAAGGAAGGCAGGATTAGACAGAAGGAAAGGCATTTCAGTCCAGGTAGTCATGAGCCAAGTCTCAGTGTTGAAAACAAGCATGGTTGGATTCAGAAAGTGGTGGCCATGGCGGATTTTTGTCATTTGTGGCTACACAACATCTGTGAACACCATTCCTACATTTTGGCCATTTCCCACATTGTGATCCCCACCTTCCTAGGGCAAAATCCAGAAAACACAGTCCCAGACTCCTTTGCAGCTGGAGGCCAGGCCTGTGGCCTAGAGTATTCCAGTGAGGTAGACCCTCGTGAGACTCGGATTCTGATGTAGGTAATGTAAGGAGATAGTCATGGACGGACAGAGCAATGGCGGACACATCTGGGCCTCCATGGGCAGAGGCGGGAGGCTGCCATTTTGCCCCAAGCATCACAGGCACGGCAGCAATGGGCCACGTGGTTGTCACCAGAGCGGTCCCCAGGTGTGATTGAGCATGGCTCCAGGCCACCCAGCTCTCAGAGAGGCCATGAGTAACAATGTCCTTTAATACACTATTTTCTATTTACATTTGACAGAATGGATGTTCTATTTGCAGGTGTGAGTCCTCATCAATACAGTGATGAGCGAGGCCTGGCTAGAGCAGAAAGTGATTGGAGGGTGGAACGGGATGGAGGGCCTGCCTGACAGAATGAGGTTGCTGTGTGGCCGGGTGTGGGCCCTGAAGTCCAGGGAATGGATCCCTAGGATTCTTAAACCCACAGAGAATCAAGGCACCCAACTGCCCCCCAACCAGGGCAGAGTCCAGCCATGGCCAGAGCCCACTGATTCTAAGCCATACTTGCCATTCCTCTAGAGGGAATTAACTTGGAGAAGAATCTTTGAGAAGCAAAGTCAGAACCCACCATTGTCATCACCTGGTTCTAGAGCTGGGGCCTCCCCAGCCAGTGGCAGAAGGAGTAGGAGGAAGGGCTTAATCTACTCTTGTTCTGCAGCCGGGATTTCAGAGCAGACATTGCCCATGAGGGAACAGGAAGCAAACCAGGAATTGGGAGTGTATTAGCAGGACTAGAACG